CCTTAAAGGCGCCGGCGCCCCCTCCTGCTCCTCCGCGGTGCCCGGGCCGCGTCGGGGGTTAAACCCAGCCCGGCGCCCTCCAGAACAGAGATCTCCACAGGGAACTCGTTTGCTGATAATCTTTTAAATATCAAGTGTCTTTGCGTGCTAGTTGTGAGTCAGCGAGTTGTGCGTGCCGCAACCTTTTAGCTGCCCTGATAGTTGCGCTTTCCCGTAGAGACTGTCTCGCTTGCAGAAGTCTGGGATTCGATGAGCTATAAAGGAAGTTTAGTAAAAAAGTATTTAAGTGTTGGCAACTGTTTAATTACTGGTAAAACGATTAACAGAGTCAAATAATTAAAATATGCATAATGGAAAATATAGGTATACTCAAACAATGCATGCTTTTGCAGGCAAGTATGCTGATTGTAAAATTGTAATAGGGACAGAAAAAACACAGGCATGCAATAAATCTGCCTTGGCATATATCAGACTAGCCCTGCCGAAGTAGGAGCCTTTGCAGGCGAAAGCGAATGGGCGTTCCTCGTGCAATTAGTCCTGGATACAGTGAGTCACTTGCACAAATGTTTTCAAAATCGGACCCATTATTTATGCCTCTTAGCACCCAGCACACTTCTGGGAGCTATAACAGTAAAATAATAATGAATAATAAATAGTTACATGCATAAACAAAAATGATGAAGTCATGCGCTGCACCACTGAAATCAATGAGAGTTTTGTCAAGGAGTGAAATGGCAGGGGAAGGTCTTTCGCCGTCCTTCCACCAAGCCTGACTGAGGGCCAGGTACTAAATCATTCATCCCAGGGATGATCCCCTCGCCTTATTCATGAAATCCGTTCTGCTGAGCCACTTTCCATTCGCAAAAAGGCAGGAATGACCCACCCTGCGGACACCCTGCCTGTGTCAGTTAGCACTGCAACCCGAACGATTTCACATTTAGGGCGTTTAATGCTCTCGGACTTGCCCCGAGCTAGGCCCACCCCTAGGCCTGCGTCCCGCCGGGAGGCTGCAGAGGCCGGAAACTCATCGCCGGAGTCGTTCCCAGAAGGGCGCATCTGCGCTCCGGAGTTTGATTCGTTCTGTCTCGAGCGCGAGCCGGTGGGGACGCGCGAGGCGAGAGGGGAACGGAGGTGAGGGCGTTCCATCGGTTGGGCGTGGATAGATTAGCTGGGTCTGGAAAGATGGCCTCCTCGGAGCAAGCAGAGCAGCCCAGCCAGGTACATGGCGGGCCGGCGCTCTGCCCGCTCGGCTCGAGTGGCGGGTGGCAGA